TGGCAATGACAAAATATACAATTATATTTATGAGGGTGCTTCAAAGATTTGTGAAAAATGGAATTAAATGGTAATGGAATATTCCACTAAGTTTGTATATAATATGATCCCTGGTGGCACAGTGGTTAAGCATGTGGCTGCTAATTCAAAGATTGGAAATTCAAACACACCAGCTTCTCCACAGGAGAAAGATGTGACATTTTACTTCTGTAGGAATGTAAAGACTTGGAAATTCCATGGAACAGGTCTACTCTGTCCTATAGTATTGCTATGAGTCAAGACTGGACTCGACAGCAGTAGTTTTTTTGGATTGTGAGCTGGGCTGCTAACCATAAAGTCACTAGTTTGAATCTATCAGTCAGTCCATGGGAGAAAGATGAGGTTTCTGGTTTCTGATCCCATAAAGATTTACAGTCTCAGAAACCCTATATAGGGTTGTTATGAGTCAGAACAGACTCAATGAGACACAACATCACCAACCACTATGTGTATATTGACCAAGTTTAGTCAATTAGTTTGTATATATAGGCAATAAAATAAAAATGGTCATATTTCACTAATTTTCACATTGGATACAAATCACTGATTGTTTCACATGAGAGTTCTGTCTTATGTACTGTTCAGTGAAGAGTATATGTCCATTTACTCTCATAATTTTACAACTTACTTAGTGGGAGCCAATTTCTTTGCATTTTGTGTTTTGGGAACGTCAATATCATGTTATAATAAAGATGGTACGTAAGTTGGAGTCCTGGTGTGGCACTGTGAGTTCATGCTGGACTGCAAGGTCTTTTTGAACCACAAGGTCAGTGGTTCAAGCTCACCAGCTGCTCTTCAGAAACCCTAGACAGGGTCACTATGAATCAGAACTGACTCAATGGCACCTAACAACAACAACAAAAACAACAAAGTTGTTGGATTTATATTTTAATCTATTTGTTCATGTTTATAGAGGTACCTTCCTAGGGCTTTTATGTTCATTTGATCCTACATTCCAGATTAACAGGCTCATAGGAGCTCTGGTAGC